CGTTTATATTCAATTGGAAAGACAGCGGAGGGACGTGATCTTAAAGTATTGAGGTAATTCAAAGTTTTCACAATTTATTTATGAATGAGTAAACCACTCGGTAAGCCCAGAGTTGGATACTTGGGGCTGGATTATGTAACTGTGAGAAAATACAATGTGCACCGAGTGCAAAACTCACAACCAAATACTCACCGAATAAAATCTTGCGAGTTTTCGGAAGAGAAGTTTTACTTAAAATTGCATACCTTTCACTTAAATTTATTTAAACAAATCGAGTAAAAGGTCTGAAATTAAAATAAAAAGCATTTGCTTAGGTTTTATGCATACGGCCCAATGTGTAAGCGCAAAATATTGGTTATTTTTTTAGAAATGAAAAAAAAATCTGCAATTAGACTTCAACAAATAAATACTAGCATTTTTGCTAGCTTGAAAAAAAAATCCTCAATTGATAAGGTAACTGAGTAGTAAGAGAAAAAAAAGATGATAGACGCTTTGGAGAGCGGCATACGCAGATTTAATTTTACTTAAGAATGTTGCAGCTTTAGGAGGTCGAGAATATCGATTTAATTTTTATTGTTTAAATCCATTTGTGAGGTGTTCATGGAGTAGATTTATGGAGCACATCGTTCAAATGACCCCGACGGATTTGTTAGCGCATGACAAAAGAACTGAATGCCAGTTTTTCGAGCAATCTCGTCCTAAACGATGAAGCTCATTTAATTTCGTTAATCGTCATATCTGCTAATATGGATATCAGGGCACAATGGTGTCGAAGGAAACGAAGAAGCTGATCAGCTAGCCAGGCTGGCTGCCACCACGACGCCGATAGGGCCGGAGGTCTTCCTTGCGGTGGGTCCCACGGGTACGATAAAGGAGGCGCTCAGGAAGGAAAATAATAAACTGAGGGAACTGCATTGGCGAAGCATCACGGGACCTCGTCAAGCCAAGAGATTATTACGGGGCTACAATCTAAAGAGATACAGGCTACTTATAAACCTCCTTAATGAGAGGCTAAGATTAAAAATAGGCATTTTGGCGGGTCATTGTAGGCTTAGAGGCCACTTGTTTAGACTGGGACCAGATCTACAGATGTCGTTTCTGTGACTCCGCCAAAGAGACACCAGTGTACCTTCTAATGCTAGGCCGTTTCACGAAGAAGGGATAGGCGCTTAGGATATACATATATCGCCAAGTGAAGAGCACATCGACTCCCTGACTCCTAGTGGTCGCAGTGCTTACCCTACTCATCTATCTATCTATCTAACATGACGCTGTTTAGCGCAGATCTCATTATGTATTTAGTCTTCCCCTTAATCCACAAAAGATTTTCGATTTTTGTATCCCCTTGTAAAATTTTATGCTTAACATATTCGTAAAACGTGTTAACCCTCTAGCTGCCATTATTTCATAACCGAGTCAACAAGTCCGGTTGTGGTAGGAATTAGTGATTTAAAATATCCCTTTAAAAAAATGTTTGATGAATTCTACTATAGGTTACCTTTAACAAAAATAATGGAGTAGTTTGACACCTTAAACGGCATGTTTAAAAATTGGATTTTTGTTCAAAAAGTGTGCATTTGGATCCACTGCAAAAATAACTGAGATGAGATGGAGTAAAATCTTAATGGAATTTTGACTACATTGCCACGTATGGCAACCCCAATGTCCAGACATAAGTTTGATTGAGACTAGAGATGGGCGCGGGATATCGGGACCCGCGAGACCCACGGTACCGATTCTAGAATGGTCTGTAAAAATTTTGTGGGCGGGACGGGACCAAAATCCTTTCCCCGACACTCCAGATAAAACCGCAACCTTAGTAAATTCAGAAAATCTTATCTTAATCTTAAAAACGTTGTATTGAGACGAAAACGAACAGCAAAGCAAAACAAAATAACTGGAAGATGATTTGAAAGACATGTGAATTTTTCTTAGTGATACATTATGGGATCCACGGGGCCCGCGGTACAATTCTGAAAAACGTCGGGATGGGCGGGTTCGGGACTTAGAAATGGAATTTCGGGATGGGCGGATCGGTGTTAAATATTTAGTCCCATGCCCATCTCTAATTGAGACCTTAGAATGGCTGCCCCTCGGTTTTT